TTTTTTTGCACCAAGTGCTAGAGAAGTGTAAGCCCAGGTTTGGTGTTTTATAATAAAGATAGAAGCTGTAGGGATTTTAAAGCAAGTTCAAGGTTTGAATCACAGAAATGGACCTGTCACTTTTGACCAATGATAAAGTCAGTATATCCTTAAGCTGTCAATGAATTTGTTAAAATTTAAAGAAATATTCATTTACCCCTTCTGAAGCTTGTCTTATATTTAATTTCACATATTATACAGTTAAATTTTTATTTTTATTTTCTTAAAGCAGTGCTTGGAACCCCTCACAGCTTGCCTCATCTGATGAACTCACCCATCTCCCCTGCATTTCTACACTTGAATAAAGCACACCAGGTACATAAATAGCATGGAATATCAGAAGATCAAATGGAGTGAATATATTTCATTTGTTGTTAACATTAAAATACTCAAGAAGTTGAGTATTTTGATTTAGAAGAAAATCTTTAATAATTATAGTTACTTACAATCATAACTTAATAATCCTACCAGATCCAATTAACCTAATTAATGCAGCTCCAATTAACCTAATTAATGAATATATTCCTATTTGCAAGGCATGAAGAAGGGATATATTTGTGGCATATTTTTGCTAGATAATAGATCTGTAAACAAAACAAGACTTTTTTATGTGCCCCTAACTCAAAAAAACATCTATAGAGAAAAACAAGTGGACAATAACTCTTAATTCTTAAAACGTAATGTCATAAAAATAGTTCATTATGTATATGAGAGTAAAGAATATTTTTCTTTTTACAGGTAAGTATTTTAACCTGTAGATATAGATATGTATGTGTATCTATCTATCTATCCACAAGATTGGACATAAACATTACTCAGTTTCAGGTGATATTTAAAGATACAGAACCTCAGTTACAAATCAAAGCTAATATATAATAGAGGATTGATATAAGGCAAATGAATGAATGTGTGGTCCTAAACACAGCTTTTTAAAGGAAAGGCCCATTTAAAATTTTTGGTCCTCAGAGTCTAACATAGTACCTGGTAGGGTCTTCATTCATTCATTCACTTGGCCTGTATTATTGAGAATCTAACACGTGTGTCCTAGACACTGTTAATCATTACAGCTATAGCGTCACACAAATCATCAACAGTCTCTGTGGTTACAGAATTTCAGACAGTCGTGGCTGGGGATGGAGCTCAGTGGCAGAGCGCTTGCCGGTCATGCACAGAACCTTGGGTTCATCCTCAGTAACACAAAAGAACAAACTGTGGGGAAACAAATGTTGAACAGTGGATTTCAATAAAGTGTAAAGAGTGATATGAGAGGGGGAGTTCAGAGTATTGATAATGTTCTCTTCACTTTAGGAGAAAGGCCAAAAATGCTTGACCTTGCCTTTAAGGCCTGTACAAGCCGGCCCTCCTGTCTCACGCTCCGTGTATTTGCTATCCTCAAGGACCTTATTTCTCCCACTGAGGTCTTTACTCCCACTGTGCCTGGAGTGCTCTCCTCCTAACCACCTGCGACTTCACCCACTCATTGATGCACCTTCAGATTACAACACAAGAGGTGGTTCCTCAAGAAAACCTTCTTTGGATTGTCCCGTCTAAATCAAATTCCTCCACTGTTGGTTCACACATTTTTTTTCCTCGTATACTTACTATTTGTAATTCTATGTGGTTTTATAAAGTCCCCCTTCCTCAGGGGACTATAGGATCCATGAATGTAGATGATATTGTATTTCTCACCATGTAGCGCAGTACTTGACACATAGGTGCTCGATGAATATTCGTTGAGTAAATGATTAAATAAGTAAACAAATATAATATCACTGTCATTAAATTCAGAAAGAGGGGAGAAAAGGAGGATGAAGAGGGAAAGGATATGGAATTAGTCTCATAACCACATGGTCACCTCTTCCGTACCATTAAAAGAATTACTATTGCCTGAAGTTGCGAAGTAGAATATTATTTTAAGAAGGAGTTGCTTCTACTCTGATGAGCTCAAGAACTGAACTTGAAGATGAATTGAGTTCTACAACAAGTTGCTTTTCAAGAGTAAACTAACCGAGTGTTTTTATCATTCCACAGAGCTCAGTTATGGGTAACACTTCTAACTTATTCCTTCAGAATCTTTCTCATGTACCCCTGACACAGCAACAGTTGATGAAGTCTGAGACTATCCATACTAATAATGTAAGTCTGGCATTTTTTTTTCTTCTAAAATAAGTTCATTCCTTTTGTAGAACCAGCCTGTTGAGCAGATTGCTTGTGAAATTTCATGTGTGTATTCTTTTTATTAGGTTATATCTTTCTGCCATGAGCAAAGTCTTATTTCTCTCCTTCTTTTGTAGAAACCTGGCTTACTTGGAGAACCCCCAGCTATGGTACTTCAAACTGCACTTGGGATAGGAGCAGCGCTTCCCTTGAAAACAGAGTTGGGACATCATGGAGAAGCCCATAAAAGTAAATGGCGTGTACTTATGGAGAAGTCAGTAAACAGTCAGACTTGAGATTAAAATGTAGTCTACCTGTATTCTACTTTTATTTACAGGAAGGTCAAATTTGAGTTTTATTCAGTCATTTGAAATTTTAAGAACCTTCTTGACATTTTTATTTTAATATTAATGAGTTATTGATGGGCTTGCTTCCATGCCAAGATAAGACGATCCTTGTTGGATCTGCTTTAATATTTCATGCAGGTTCACAGCAGTATGAGGGGAAGACATAGATCTATTTGAGATTGACATGCTGCCCACTGGGCGGACAGCACATTACACATGTATCCATTTAATTTTTGCCTGGATAAGAAGCCCTTAGTTTTTACAAAAGGAATATCTAGTACTTAGAATGTAAAGTTTATTTGTTTTACTTTTAAAAAGTATCTTCAAATTAGTACTTACAGAAAAGGATGATATGTGTTCTGTGTACTTCTGAATATATATATAGAAAAGCAATAGCCTGGTGTTATACCAGATTTTTTTTTAATGTAATTTGGAAAGGTGCTTTCAGTTTGAAGCTTAATTGAAAATTTAGTTATGCATAAATATGCTGACTAAAAACAAAGGACTGCTAATAATTTAAAAGTTAACTAAGTATAGAGAGCACACTTAGCCTTTTGAACATAAAATCAACTAGTCATAGGACCAAAATTACTCAGTCAGTTCTGCCTATTGAAAATGACCAGGCAAAAATTAAAAAAAATTTTTTTTGTATGACAGTGTCTGTCCTTCTAAAAAATTAAATTTCCTTTGACTAAAAGCTTATGCAAATGTTTCCTGCTTGTATTAAGTTAAATAATAAGCCATTTGCTATAGCATGTGCTGCTCTAAGAACATGGAAAATTCAATGTCTAAATGAATATATTGCTAAAAGTTAGAAGAACCACTGTACTGACCAAAACAAACAAACATAGAAAACCCAAAGTATCCATCTCGAAACGTTTAGTAAAATAAACCAACCAATCAGTGGTATGATGGTGTTTAACAAACTCTCTAGGTTTAAAAAAGAAGTCTTGGTTCGAGTCATTTGTAGATTTCTGTTTGTGAGCCCTCCAGCCACGGCTGATTTCAGATTACAGATGTGAAGACAATGAATTCAGTTGCAAAGAGAGATGCACAATTGGTTCTCATTAGCTGCTGCAAGCCAGCTGACCAGACTTATGGGGTTCACTTTAAAAATGTCCAAGAGCTTTTTGACTCAAGACTTTTGTTCCCTTCAAACATGAAAGCAGACAAATTGCAGTGACTGATATTATTTTAAAAA